CAAGTTTGGCCCAAGTCAACTCCAAACCACAACCACCCTTATTTCAACACTCTAATGAGCCCCTTTCTTATCTTATGCCTTTGGATTATGGACCTACCCACTAAATTCACCCACGCTACAAATCATATCATAATTCATATATATATGACTTCTTATTTGATACTTTTAAGGATCGATGCATGTATATATAGCTTTGTTAGTTGGTGAATTATTGCATGCCCCTATCTTAATTATTCAAATGCTATATTACATATTATTGCTATGCCAATTTAATTTTTTAAATGATATGACATCTTGGTGACGAAGGAAACCCGTAATCACAATCTGAGGGTGTGTACTAATAAATCTCACATTGAGACGACGACAAAAGGTCATAAGGATGTAAACCAACCTAGGATCCTGCATATGCTTTCATTCTTGTGATTGTGGTAATTTGTTACTTGTGAAAGATGTTTTTTTGTTTATGTAGTGGTGGTGTCAAAGATAGGAATCACGATCCCCGAGTTTATCGTTCTCTAGGGATGACAACTTGGAAGTGTGGAGTTGTGTTGAGATAGAGAGTGATGTTTAGGTTTGTCACATACATGACTCACAAGGAGCTTGTGTACATATGTTCAAGACAAAGGTACAAAGATACAACACAACTAATGAATCAAAATGAGAAAAGAAGGGAATAGAATTGATCATCCATTACATGATTCTTCTAGTGTCTAAGGTAAAATTGAGAGATTGCAATTGAGTGATTTCAAGCGAGACTTTACTAATGTCGTTTACCTTTCGGTCTACACGGCCTATCAAAGGTCTAGAAAGCACTTCAAGTGACAACCTATTGCTAAGATTCCATTCATTAAACACCTTGTCTTCACCTCGTTCTGGACTTCGTCCTCTCAGAACTTAAGGCGGAAAGAGCAAGTGGCTACAATCAACCTAGCAATATCTTGCCTAGGCCGGTCAATTGGTCATAAATCCTCTCTAGAGTTGGGCGGCTCTAACTCACAAGAGTCAAATCATACATTCACATCTAACAAGATATCAAAAAACAATTGCAATTCACAAATCTACTATAATCAAGCATTTAATCTCACACTAGCATCATGGAATAGATTCACAATTCAATTCCTAAAAGAAACCTAGCCACTCATTGTAGCTAATTGAATCATCTTTGAATCAAAATCAAAAATAGAAATTGAGATTAGAAAGAGAGAGAATTACCAAACTTGAATTCAAAAGAGATTCAATCTACAAATTGCTTCAAGGATCAAGAAATGTTGTCAAGATTCCTTCAATCCTAGAATGTCTTCAATACAATGTTCTTGAGAGGATAAAGAGATATAAAATGAAATCTAAAATCTAAAAATGAATCCAACCTCCTAAAATATCTAAATCTAGTCTATTTAAATCATTTCCTCCCGGGCTTCTCTTCAATTTGCGCCCAAGGTCCCAGTCACAAGCGATCCACGATCGTGACTGGGTCACTTATCTCGCCCCAGTGCTCTGGTCACGAGCGTGAATCGGCTCATGACAGGGTCTGATTCCCTGCCAAGAGCGGGTCACGATCGTGACTGGGGCCAGCAGAATTCCTCCACTTTTGCACTCTTTTTGGTTGCTTTTGTTCACTCCCATATGCCATCCTTTAAATTCAAAACACTAATGTGCAAGATATGATAGGACTTTGCAACAGATTAGAACAATTCAATGCATTTAACCACAAATCAACGGATCACATTTAAACACAAAACAACCCCAACATGACCCTAATAAATTAGTGTCTTTTGCACTTATCACAAATTCTCACACTTTGCTCTTGCTTGTCCTCAAGAAAGTTATCAATCAATTCAAAACAATAAGTGCAAAAGATACTTTAATCAAATCTCAATCAATCAAGAGGAGAAAATGGGGGGGGGGGGTGAAATCCCTCATATCATCCAACACAAGTGTGTTAACCATGTGTCATTCTTTGCAACTCATGGAATATTCAAGGGAAACAAAAACCCCCTAGAAAATTGGTTATGATCAAGCTCAAGGGAACACACTCTCTACACACCAATTGTCAAGAAAAGAAGGGAGAGATTTTATTGTGAGTGTGAGGATGAGCCCCATGTGAATCATAGAAGCAAACAAGGGGGCAATGAAAAGCCTTTAGGCAAGTATGGATTGAGTGAAGATACTTGGGCCTTGGCAAGGTGTTATGGAGTTAACAATGTACTCCCGGATAAAGAAGTTGATGTAATGCCAATGACCGGAGAATATGTGGATAAAGGAAAAGAAGAGAGTAACCAAGAAACCCTCGTGCTTGAAGAGAGTCAATTCATCAAACACCTTGTCTTTACCTCGTTGCGGACTTCGTCCTCTCAGAACTTAAGGCGGGAAGAGGAAGTGGAAAGGAGGCTACAATCAACCTAGCAATCTCTGGCCTAGGTCAATTGGTCATAAATCCTCTCTAGAGTTGGGCCTAACTCACAAGAGCCCAATCATACATCCAATTCCAACAAGAAATCAAACAAAAATTGCAATTCACAAATCTAATCAAGCATTTAATCTCACACTAGTATCATGTAATAGATCAATTCAATCCCTAAAAGAAACCTAGCCACTCATTGTAGCTAATTGAATCATCTTTGAATCAAAATAAAAAAAAAAAAATAGAAATTGAGATTAGAAAGAGAGAGAATTACCAAACTTAAATTCAAAAGAGATTCAATCTACAACTTGCTTCAAGGATCAAGAAATGTTGTCAAGATTCCTTCAATCTTAGAATGTCTTCAATACAATGTTCTTGAGAGGCTAGAGAGATGTAAAATGAAATCTAAAATCTAAAAATGAATCCAAACTCCTAAAATATCTAAATCTAGCCTATTTAAATCATTTCCCACTGGGCTTCTCTCCAACTTGCGCTCATGGTCCTAGTCACGAGCGATCCACGATCGTGACTGGGTCACTTATCGCGTCCAGTGCTCTGGTCACGATCGTGACTGGGGCTAGCAGAATTCCTCCACTTTTGCACTCTTCTTGGTTTCTTTGGTTCACTATAACACCCCCCCCCCCACAAATTCTAAATACAGAAAACCCAAAGAAAATGCGGAAGCGAATTCAAAATACAAACTCAATTGGGGTGTTATGCCACACTTAGGTTACTCTAAACCCAAATGCACATGCTTACAAAGGTTTTACTTCAAATTTAATTACAAAGCTTATCTAATACAAAAGGTTCTAATCCGAACAACTAAACCAGCCATACTAGACAGCGCTCTCTCCGAGACATCTCTAAGCCAACCTGAAATCATTTTCGAAAAATTAGCGATAATGCTAAGTAAAACCACTCCAACACGTAAAGATACATAAGTATACTTTTATACTCAAAATAGGTTTTGCAACGGTATGACTATATATAGATATATATGTGTGTGTGTGTGTGTGTGTGTGTGTGTGTGTGTGTGTGTGTGTGTGTGTGTGTGTGGTGTGTGTGTGTGTGTGTGTGTGTGTGTGTGTGTGTGTGAGATCATGAGATCCCATTTCATCCATTAATAAATTTTCAATGGATGGATAGGATTCAAAGTCAAATATCAATTATTTAGGGATAGATTTAAATGAGAAGGATGTAAGAGTAATTCTATTACCGTGTTTAATTTTGGTTATAATTAAAATAGAATCTTTATCTAATAAAAGGGATCCTATCAATGGTAATAATTATATTTTTTTGTATTCTGAGATTTTGAAGAAGAAACATGCCAAGAAGAAATAGAAATATGAGATTTGTATGTGTTACGGTGGTGTGTGCATTTGTGTGGTAGGGCGTGTGCAAATTTCTGAAACTTTACATCATGTCGTTTTTTTTTCTTTTTCTTTTTCTTTTTTTTTTTTTTTTTACGATGGAGTATGCATTTTCGTGATATGGTGTGTGCAAATTTGTGGCAATAGAACTTTGCATAATGTCAAATTTTTTTTTTAATTTTTTTTTTAGGGTGGTGTGTGAATTTGTATGGTTTTGCATTCGCAAATTTTTGGCAAAGGAATTTAACATCATGTTTTTTTTTTTTACGCTGGTGTGTGCATTTGTGTGGTATGATGTGTGCCAAAAAAAAAACATCATGGTTTATATACAAAAAAAAAAAAAAAAAAAAACAAAAAAACCAACAAGAATTAACGCACACACCATACCAGAACAATGCACACACTGCTGTAAGATTGCATCTTAAAATAAAACAGTAATAAAGACGTCTGCATTAAGCTGGTGTGTGCACGTAATGAAGTAGGTGGATGCGTAGGAATGAGCAGGTAGGTATTTGCTAAGTAGGTTATATTTCACAACTATATGGCGTGTGCGCACACGAGTGACAGTATGTGCGTTATGCTGGTGACAGTAAGAGATAGATAAATATTGAAAATTGATTGAGGCAAAAAATAACGCCACAAATCTTTATAAACATGGAAATAAATGAGTAGCCTGTGTAATCCAAGTGAAATCAATCTAAATCATTGAAAAATAAAAATAAACGCACAGGATGTGGTCTCACGATCTCACCTAGCTAGGGGGGTTTCACTGGATATATATATATATATATATATATATATATATATATATATATATATATATATATATATATATATATATATATAGGCTATTTTTCAGGTGCAAACCATTATTAATGTGTGAACTTGCGGATCAATCAGGTGTGTTGATGTATTGGATCGGATGGCCAAATATTTGCCACTCACAACAGACGCATGCACTATGCACCATGGGATCCCTGCCAGCAGTATATTACTTCAAGTATGCATCTTATTTGAATAGAATTCAAACCACGTAACTTGAATAGAATTCAAGTATGCATCTTATTTGAATAGAATCCAAACCACGTAACTTCCCTCCCATCTTAACTGAATAGGATTCCAACACGTATTCCTTGGCTTGCTTACGCTTGTCGACTTTGATCCGTAACGAACCTGCGACGTACCGACGAAGGGTGATGGCATGCGAACCGGACGAGGGTGGCTGCGCAATGGAGTTACCACCACCCGACGACCACAATTTGAACCCCGCCATGGACGCTTTAGAGCTGCCGGCAGTGGGGCGTGTATTTAGAACACTAAACGAGGGTATCCAATGCTACACCAACTACGCGCGGACCATCGGGTTTGACGTTCGATGTAGCTCCGTGAAGCATGACCGAGACGGAGAAGTGTACTCGCGATATTTGGTGTGCAGCCGGCAAGGGTTCAGAGCCGGTGGTAGGATACCCCGCGACCATGATCGGGGTGTGAATGTTGGAGATAAACGGGAGCGCCGCCGCCGACTTTCTAACAGAGTTAATTGCGGAGCGAGGATCGGCTTTAAAAAAAAAGGCTCTGGGGAGTACATCGTTACCGTTTTTGTCGAGGAACACACCCACAAATTGTGCTCAGATTCGTCTAAAGTTTTTATGCGAATTAACCGACGTCTCAATGTGGTCCACCAGGCTTTTTTAGGTAATTGCGTTAAGGCCAACATTGGTTCTTCAACGGGGCTGCGGTTTTGCAAGGAGGCCACTGGATCGTATGCAAATGTCGGCGCAACGGACGTGGAATTCCACAATTTTAAGCGAGATGTCCAAACGTACGTTGATGTAGCTGATGGGGAGATGATTATCGCCACCTTCAAAGCCAAGCAAGAAATGTGCAGTGAATTTTTTTATGAATACCATATGGATGAGGAAAACCGGCTATCGCGTCTATTCTGGGCTGACCCCCTCAGTAGGCGGACATTTTCTTGCTACGGCGATAATATTTCCTTCGATGCCACCTACGGAACAAACAGGTATGGGACTGCACTTTGATTACTGTGGATGTTTAGATTGAACCCCTGCACAATGTGTGTACTAGTAGTTGTGTGTGCATGTCACGCCCACCCAAATACCCTTTGAGCATCACATTTTTGTTGCTGAATTACTCCATGTGTGAATTACTTGCAAAATCTCATTCAAATGATATAATCCTATTAATTATGCTTTGAATTTTGCTAAGTTACTGTATCGAACATGTGTGTGTATTTTTTTTTTTTTTTTTTTTGGAGAATTTTTATATTGTTAATGACTATGATGCATGCACAACCAAATAATATTTATTTTTCACCTTAACTATTATGTTATTGCTTCTATTTTGATTTTGATGTTCTGGTAGGCCCTCCACTACCTTCATACTAAATAGCCCTTTGATGCCTAATTATTTTGTATTGAACGTTTTAGGCGAGTAATTTTGGAACTAATGCATTCCTTCTTATTTCACAGGTACAGTATGGTGTTTGTGCCATTTATGGGTGTGGACAATCACAAACGATGCATCACTTTTGGGGGCGGTTTGCTCACTAAGGAAGACGTTGACTCATACAGCTGGCTGTTGGAGAAATTTATAGCTGCAATGGGCAAGAGCCCATTATGTGTTGTGACGGACCAAGACCCAGCAATGCGAATTGCTATCCAACAAGTATTGCGAAATTGCCGCCATCGCTACTGTATGTGGCACATTATGACAAAGGTTAATGAAAAGCTAGGCAATGAGTTAGCTAAGGACAATGAGTTTCGCAAAAAACTAAACGCTATCGTCTGGAACGAAAGAATCTGCATTGATGAGTTTGAGGCGCAATGGCACCTATTAATAGATGAGTACAAGCTAACAAACCATCGGTGGTTTTGCAAAATATTTGGTGAAAGGGAGAATTGGATCCCGGCTTACTTTTCTGATTTGCCTATGAGTGGGCTGCTAAGAACCACATCGCGGTCAGAAGCAGAAAACGGCGTATACGGTAAATTCACACGTCCCCATTCCAGTTTGGTAGAGTTCTACATGCAATTCGAGAGCGCGTTGGGAACGCAGCGCTATCGACAAGATAAATTAAACGCAGAGTACGAGGGTTACCTGCCTAAGTTTAAAACGCCATTAGCACTCGAGCGTACTATTGCACGAGAATTCACGATCACTATTTTTTATGAGCTACAGAAAGAAATAGAAGCAGCTTGTTTTTATTGTTCTGTGATCGGTGTACGCCAAGACGGGGATAGCACCCATTACGACATTGCAAATGAGGGGAACATTATTGCGACCGTGTACTACAAGGTTGGTGGTCTTGGAGCATCATGCAGCTGCAACTTGTTCCGAAGAATGGGCTTGGTCTGTCGGCATATGTTTGTGGTTTTCTGGGGTGCACAGATGGAACAGTTACCGGCTGAATACATTGTGAGCCGATGGTGCAAACATCTTACTTGCGGCGCATGCAAAGGAGTACCGTCAAATGGTGATAAGCCAACCCCTGTAGCAACACAACTGTGGACTGAGATTAACACGTGCGTTGGACTGGTAGGCAACAGCCTAGAGCCCCAAACGCGGATGGTCTCGATACTGAAGGACCTTACCGCAGAATTCAGTAGTGACGGACTATCTACGAACCCTGTTAAGGGTAACCGTGCTGCGATACAAGCATTATGCGGTGTTGAGCCGCCAGAATCAATAATAATCAAGCCCCCCGCCCAAGCGAAGAACAAAGGCACTGGAAAGCGTATAAAAAGCCAAAGGGAGATAGCCATCGAGAAAAATGCCAAAATCGGACGAAAGTGCGGGATCTGTGGTAAATATGCTCACCATAACGCCCGTAGTTGCCCGTCAAAGTAACTTGCTAAGAATTCTGTAGCATATTTAATTTGGTTTGTTTTACTCCCTTTGTTATTCAGTACGATTCGTTGGCTTGTACCCAGGATTATATAGTCAGTTCGTAATTCATTTAGTGCATTCCAATACCATCAGTTTTTTAATCACCTATTACTGTTAGTAGCATTTTTTGCACTGCTTATACACATACGCTGGAGTGCCCATGCATACAGTGCTACCTAATTTTATCCCTTTTGCCTTGTTTTTTTTTTTCTGGAATTTTCCAATGCATATCAAACCCACTATTTAATAACCAAAATGGACATGTAATGGACAGCCAAGCATAACACATGTGGTAGCACTTTTGATTAAAATTGACTTTTTAATATAAAACATACCCCCCCCCCCCACTGCACAGTGCGCGTTTGTATATACACAGGCATGCATAATGTCTCCTACCTTGATTCACCAATTTTGGTTGATGTGGTTTATTATGGCATAAGAAAATGATTTACGATTGCAAATATTTGGTTTATTTTGGTTTATGTTGCTACGATTTTTGTCCACCTCTTTTTTTTTTTTTTTTTTTTGGTTTACAAATCGTGTTGCACTGCCCCAAGCATTTTAAAAAGTCTAACTAATAACTAAAAATCACCACCTTAGGTAAGATACACCAAGAATTAAACCACAGCACTTGAGCTACCCCATAACTGCCTCTGCAACTGTATGCAAATAGAATACAGGGATCCCCCAAATATAATTTATTAACAACGAAAATAGATCAAACCGACTAACAAAATTTAAAACCGTGTTGCACTGCCCAAGCATTTAAAAAAAGTCTAACTAATAACTGACCATCACCACCTAAGATAATATACACCAAAAATTAACCCATAGCACTTGAGCTAGACCATAACTGCTGAGACCAAAAAACAAAACCCCGGATTGGAGGTGTAATCATTATCAAATCTTCTTCCACACTGGCACCCCATCCTACTCACCGATGCATCTGTGGCAATCTTTTACTTTCAAAAGCTGACACGCGCTCAGCAATACTGGTTGTATGGGTGTTTACCACACTAAGTAGAATATTGTGCATGTAGCGCTTGCGTAGGTTGAGCATCTGCATGGCATCCCCCCACTGCAGACCAGTATCCCAACTCGCACACCCCTGTCCCACGTATGCCTCCATATGGCGCATCGTGAACACCCCAGAATCCAACGTTGAGGTGGTATCCCTCCACGCCATTTGCATCCTCTTCGGTTTCAACATTTGTATGCGTGCAGCACGAAGCCCTTGCCCCTTGGAGTCCAAGTAAGCACTCAGGCACATCATCTGCACAGAAATCATTATTAAAACTGCTGTGACCAACTTAGGATAAGAAGGGCACACGCCTAAAACGCATGACTATTAATAACATATGCTGCATAAGATATGTTACATAAGTAGTCAATTATTCTTCCCCACTGGATTTTATGTCCAGAGAAGACCTAAGGCCCATGTTTAATGAAAGCGAGTACTATGCTTCACCTCAAGTCTATCACTAGTTCATCACTGTACAGAGGAAGAATAGTTAAGATATACATATATATGGAATACCAGACACATAGACGAACATACCATCCCAAGCCAATTTACATTTTACAGTAAAAATTATTCCATTTTGCAGTTTGCGAGCATTGTGCTCCATTTTTTTCTGCTAGTATAATCGTAAGCCTTAGCTGTAACAGCTAGTTGGTTTGACTAAAGTGAACGTGAGTGGCAACTGGTAAGTTTGACACAAGCAAATGGAATAATATAAAGGATTAAAGGGAAGATGCATATGTAATAATTAATAAACAGAGTATGGAGCTAAGGACACATACCAGCTCCTCTGGAGCCCCACCATACATTTCTTTGTTTGTCTTCTTCACAGACGAACTATCAATGATGTCAAAACGGGGTGGCTTGCAGCTGATAGCCATCATGTAATAAGTACCCTTGGTGAAAATTGGGAAAGTAAACTGCATTGGTATCCAAAAAAAAAAAAGGAGTATTAGACTATGGAGGGTATGTGTTAGTGCAATGTCATAATAGTTAAGGGTACATCACCATATCTATGTCGGCAGTACCACCACGGCCTATTCTCTGCAACTCAGAATCCATGCGATTCGCGAACCAACTGATCCTCGCGTCCTCGCTGCCAGATGTCCCAACAACCATGTCGATCTGCATATACCAGTTAATAATTAGAAGGGGTTTGCACCAGAAAACATGGTATATAGAGTATTCTGCTAGAGTGCACACAAAAGCATACCATTGTGCTAGTGGAAAGAAACAACCGCGTCACGCCACCATCTGTGCTCAGCTCCTCCCGGGCATTAAGGACATAGCACCAGGCATCAACAACAGGCTTGGCCACATTCGACCCCTCCCTCAGTGTTTGGATTTGTGCCCACTTTACCGTCCGCTCAGCATACTGGAATAACACCTCATTGCTACAGGTTAACAACGATAAACCAAACATTTTCAGAATAGACCCCAACCACATTTTCCAATAATAATTAGAATGCACCCCGAACACCCGAGCTCAGTCGCATTAAAAGCCACTTACCGTTCTCCCTGGGGGCAACTAAAAACCCACCTCCACACGACATACACGTGCGGTAGTGGAGTAGTCGGGTAACCAAGCATGGGGCTGAAGTAAATCCCCCGCGCCTGGGCATGATGAATAACTGGTTCCTTCTCTTTGCCCTTTGGCCCATCAGCTGGAATTGTGCATGGTGCAGCGTTCTCTTTGCCCTTTGACACGTCAACTAGAGCTGTGCACAATGCAGCGTTCTCTTTGCCCTTTGGGCCGTCACCCTGTGCAGCGGGATGTGATGCAACACGTGCGCTGCCTAGTTCCTGCAAATGTTGGCCCAAATAAACATCTGAAAATGACACTAGGAGAATACTATGCATTAGCATACCTGAGGAGGTGGTGCAGCGGAGACCAGCTCTTGAACCATGTTCTTTGTCCGGTTATGCGCTGCAAACTCTTGCGTCAACCCTAAGCTGAAACTTGGCACATCAGACACGCCATAAACCCCAGTAGCAACCATCTCAACCCGGTCAAGCTCCCTTAAAAAGTCCGCATCATACAACAGAGGCCCTTCATCGTGAACCGGCGACAGGGCGGGCAGTTTAGGAGCTGCCTCAATTGCCTTGGCTGCTGTCTTTACAATAACCTCCCACTGTTTGATTGAATCCACCACCGTTTGGAAATTACAATCTTCTTGCACTTTGTTGGGGTGGTTGGAAACCAAGTCAACAACCCGTGTGGTGAGCGATTGCAACTCAGCGGTGATTCCTGCAAACTCTTGGCCAAACCCCTGCAACCCCCCACCCCCACCACCACACACACAACGGATGTTAACATGCAAATGATATAATGATTGGAAGAAAAAAAACGGCTACATCAAAAAACATACCATGTTCTCGGCACAAGCCTGTCCATGGCGTGGTCCCACCCCCGCCCCAAGTTGAGGTGTACCAGGATTTGACGCACAAGGAGGACCATCCACCACACCCCTACCGAATCCCCCAGAATCAAGCTCAATCAGCTCACGTGTTTTAATGAGATCCGTGGTCCAACCCACCATGAGCGGGATCGTCCTAGGGACCTCTCGCACACCCACCACGACCCTATCCAAATACAAAAGCTGAACACACACAAACACACCACTGTTAGCCAAGATAAAATAACAAACCCCCTACAGAACCAAAACCAAAGCCACTTACAGTTAGGAACAGAAGTGGGCCAGTGAATTTGCGATTCGAACCCTCGGTCCAACTTCGATGGGTAGTAACCAACGAGCGAATCAAATACTCACACCAGTCAAGGTCCTTTATCATGTCCACACTACTTAACATGTGGACGGTTTTCTGGTTTGCATAGCCGTTAGGTGTGCTCGCAACCAGGGTGGTCATCACTACAACACTGAAATGGATTTTGAACCACCGGCCACCATCACTCAACTCCTCCAACAGCGCACATAACCCCCTAGCTGTAATCCTTCCTCTACGTTGTTTCACCGCGTCCCTCCAGTCCCGCAACTCCGGGCTAACCCCCTGGTTATCCCGTTTAGCAATCGGTATTGGTCCACACGGCAAGCCAAAGATGGCGGCAACATCCTCCTTGGTGACAGGAATGTACCGACCGTCCCCCAGGTTGATCCTCTTCTTAACCGGGTCAAAACAGGTGACCAACCAATGACCCATACGCAGCGGTACGTCAGTAATCTTAAACCCCAACAGCGCACCAAGGCCAATCGCCAGAACATCCTCCCTCTGACTTTCAGTCAAGGTTCCCATGAAGTTTGCAAGGTCCTTCGGCGTCCCACGTGTGTTGAACTGGCCTCTCGTTGAACGCTGCACACGGGGTGCTTCCATCTCCACATCCTCGTCCAACACCAGCGGCGGAGTCTGGAAAACATCCTCCTCCCCACTTTCACCGTCACTTAGCAGAACTACGCGACAGTCATCAGAACCTATGCACAGCAAACGAGAGGGCATGAGAACCACAACATACTATATGTAAACTATAATCCACAACAATAGCACAGCAATACCATCGTACAATAACAGTATAGTATTTAATATTTTTTATATAGCAGGCAGTATATCATAAGCCACCGGTGCACTTCAGGAAGCTAAAATGTAGTAAAGACTATTAATAGTACTAATTACTGCCACATTTGGACCGGGGGGTTGTCTCAAATCTGTGTTGCATTAACAAAGCTATGTTGTTGGTAGATAATTAAGCTAGTCGATGGGTATGATAGTGGGGTAATTTGCAAAATCAGACTCCTAGTATTTAGAATTTGAGTACATAAGCTGCAAAATCTGACTATTCATATAGGGTCGAGACTGAGTGCATAAGCTGCTATTTTACCTAGTATACTCTTTCAAAGTGAAAGCACCTCACAACGGTATTACCTGGGGTAGATGAACCAATGGGGATTAGCTGAGAATAGTGAATATAATTAGATTGTCTATACCT